GTATGTTGTTGTAAATGTTCGTCTTTTATTTTCCTGTGTTCTGAATACGCGTCTTGATTAAAAGCATTATTAAATTTGGTTCCACATTATCCATTCATTATTCGAAAAACCATTTCCCCAAAAGCCGATATAAAAGAATTTTGATTGAAGTGCAGATTTATTTTCTTGTGAGAAAGATTAATGATGTAATTTTCTTTTTAAATGGTCGGTTGCTATTCCGGTAAAAAAAAAAGACTGGAGGCTACATACGGATATTCAATTTTATCCGTGAGAAAATTTGTAAATATTGCAATATGAAAACCGAATACTTTTCTTTTCAAAAACATAATTATTCATCCTTAATTTGAAATAAAGGAGTGAAATGTGTAATTTCAATATCTTAGGTGAATCCCAGTAACTGAACACAAAGTTATATGCTACTAGGATTGTTTTAGTGATTGTTTCAAATCTTTCTCAAGCTATGAAAGACAGAAAGAGTGATTAATAATGCCCACGAAGTAAAATATGAACACCCGATGAAGGGCCTTTTTGAGAAACTTTTACCATTACAAATTAAAGTCTACCAACGATAGTTGAATACATGTTTTTGTTTTTTAATTGAACATCAATCGTATGATAACTTTGTATTAATTGATGTTCATTGTAACGTTGTTAACTTAAAATTAATTAGAGGTTAATTGAAAAATTGAAACAACAGTTGTACTTTAACAACTTTAAATATAAACATGTAAATCTTCACAAATTGCATCGCAAAAGTTATGTAAACAAGTTTTTACAAAAGTACCTCGAGATTTACGTAATCAGCAATGTAATATTTTTGCAAAACCCCCTTATTGTTTATGCTCGATTGGTCATCTATATAAATTAGATTTTTATCAGATTTTATATATTTCGCACGTCGTATTGAATTTCCAGGTAAAGCAAACTCGAAATGAATACACAATAGAAGAAAATTCTGTTTGAAATTTAATTGAACTGTATTATCAATCTCTTTTTTTATTTTTTATTGTATATATATATATATAATAAAACAAAAACTTAAGCTTCTATGTTCTGCTGTTTTTCAGCGCATTATTTTTTTAATACTTGGTTAATAAGCAAATAACTACCGTTGGTGAAGGTGATGGGACAAACTATCACTTCCGAGGCGATCTGGATGTAGCTATCTTTCCGAAGCGAAGCTGAGGAAAGATAGCGTATACATTCTGATCGACGAGGAAGTGATAGTTTGCCATCGCCTGAAACCAAAAGGTGATTATTTGCTTTATATTCCACATCTAAAAACAATATAACTACAACAAGAAAAGGACGTGTATGCATCTACATGAAAGACACCAGGCCCAAATGAAATTCACACCAAAAAGGTTAAAAGTTTAACCCAACCCCTTTAGGGTACGGTGCGCGCATGTGTTTGCTTTAATTGCGCTCATTGGTAATGCGCGCTTAATTATTTTAGTGCGCTTTTGGATAATCTTCAGTGAAAGTGCGTTGCCCTTTGTAGATAGTACCTCTATCTTCAGTAAAAGTTCGTTGCCCTTTGTAGATAGTAGTACTATCTACAAAGGGCAACGAACTTTTTGCTTCTCCCATCAATGATGGGCGAACTATCTTTGATCACGTGATTTACTTATGACCAATCGTAGAGCAAGATTCTTAGTATGTGGAATATAATAGTATCTATCTCATTGTCTTGTGACTATCTTTCTCTGTCTCGCATCTCCATGGGTCTCTTGATAGTTCTCTCTCTCGCCTCTACGTGTGTGTGTGTGCGTGTGTGTGTGCGTGTGTGTTTCCCTCTTTTTCCTCTCTACACTCCCATCTCTCTCTCCTCCCATCACTCTCTCTCTCTCTCTTTCTATCTCATCTTCTCTCACTAAAAAAAAAAATACCTTTGCACTTCCTTGTAAACTTCCTTCTTTCGCTGGTAGTACAGGATACTCATGAAAGAAATAACTGTTTCGATCGTCTTCTGGCACGCAATAATCTATTCTCTTCTCGTATCCCTGCTCCCACATATTTACATATTTCTTATCCCCACCTTAAAGGCCCACTGCACTACTTGTAGCTACTTGCGCCCTCTATATAACAAACACTGCCTAATCGGTGACCACTGGTCCCCCATGATCCTCTTTTTCTTATGTTAATTGAGAGCTGAGTTGATGAGATAACCACCTGTCCAGTGAACTTGCAGGGCGCTCTTATCCCTCCTGTAAACTATGGCAGATAAGCTTTAAAGGGCCTGAACAGCCATTTTGCTTTTCAATCTCCATTACCAATGAATGAGGCTGTGGCGGATTTAATTTTGTTAGTATTTTAGAAAAAAAGCAGGGGGGAGCAGAAGGGACACAGTTCCTCAAAATCAGTGACAAGTATTACGTTTATACCTATTAGTAGGATAAAAAGGGAAACTTTGCATGTATTGAGATTTTTCGCCTGTGTTTAAAAGAAGGGGCCACCTTCTGTCATGGGTCATGCCCTAATTGGAATTCTTTTGGCGGTGCTTTTTCCATTCCATACTAACCTGAACACACCCAGTCCCACCGTCTCGACCTTATCTATTATGCAATCTGTTTGATATCCTCTTCAGAAATTAGGCCTACAGCCCGAAGTATCAGGTGAAGAGTGCAAACATTCTCCTAATTAACGAGCTTGTACATAGGCGTGTACATAATATGAGTGGAAGGTGGGATTCTTTTAATGACCAAATCTTCTTTGAGTTTCTAAATAGATAGATAAATGGTATTTATTGATTTATTTTCATGTATCGCAGTTACAAATAACTGAATTGCACATGAATAAAACATTGATGGAAAAGACAAGTATACATTTCAAGAGATATCAGACTACAATCTACATAATTATGAAGAGTGTCTACATGTTTACTGTATACCATTAATCTTATACAATATTACAATTTAAAAATTTGAGTTAAAAAAGAAAGAGAGAGATGACAAGATTCAGAGAGATGTGAACACAGGAGAGTGAGAGAGAGAGAGAGAGAGAGAGAGGGGGGGGGGGCACTGAAGGGGGACAGATTGAAAGAAAGGGAAAATGGGCTCTTGACAGCGATTATGTACATACTGATAAAATACGATGATACATTACAAACAAAAATGAATATTAAGGTGAACACCAGAAATATATAAATATGCATTTGTATACTTCATTTCATAAAATAATACATTGAATAACTGTGTAATATAACAATCTCAGATTTGTGAATTAATAATATACTAAGGAATATAAACATGTAATACAAAAGGAGTTGGAGTTGAATATTCAAGTTTGGGCGAATATAGCCAATGGAAATAGTAACTAGATCTTCATGTGAAAGGCCGAACTTCCGCAAAGAACGGAGCATATTATATATGTTTGCAATCGCTCTTTTTTCAATATCTCAGATGTTTCTATATGTGTTATGTCTCTATCAAAACGGCAAATTACCTAATTCGTTATAGGTGAATCCGTGAAGAATTCAATGTCTTGTTTTTAATTTGCTTTATTCCAAGAAAAGATGTCACACAGGTGAAATTCTCTATATGGGCAAATGAGAAGGAAGAGAGAATACACGTCGGTATACGTAGGCGTTTGGCCTATGTTTACCGCTTTAACGTTACGCAATGATTTAAAAATGGGTATGTACAAAAATTCCTATAAAATAATGACCATTCCACATGATTATTGTCATTCACCGAGAGATAGCCATCAGTTGGACTGAATATTAACAAAAACCATCGAATTTTTTACAACATCTGACGGAGATTTCATTCAATATGTTTCGATTGATGATATTGGCGCTCACTGGTAGGTCTTTAATTTCAATGCTTCTAATTATCGGTTTAAATATACAGCCATACTATAGTTATACAGTAATGTATGTTTCTTCTTATTAGGTGCATTATTATTATGTCGGATAAGGAATAGATAATTATTGTGATCTGGTTATTTGCCTAATCTTCTCATGTTTTGAACAACGTACATTAGCTCCGAAATCGTATATTTTAAAGAGTTTGTCTCACGCCATTTTAACGATGTTATTGGTCTCCTCCTTCTGGAAACTCCAAGTCAATCGGAGTAATATTCTGTCTTTTGTCTTTTGTCTTTCACGATGGAAATTTTTCTCTTTCTTTAGTATTTACCAATTTCTTTTCTTCTTGTTGTTGTTCTAATTATTATCACCACCATTGCCTTTTCTTGACATCATTCTTTCAGTTGGGGAAGGAGTACAAATATCTGTGTGATATTTCTTTAGCCGATTTATTAATTACTTTATTTATTCATTTTTTTCTTTGACAAGCAGAGTGAAACTGTCTGCACATTGGCATATAAAGATCATTTGTTCCAAAAGTATAATAACCCACCACTGTACGAATACTGGAAAAGTGCTCATGAAAATGATGTAATCATTATTAGTTTGAAGGTTTGCATGGTGGTATGAACAATCGCGGAAGAGGTTTACGGTGTACCGTAAACCTCCTCCGCGATTATTAGTTTAATACCAATTTCATCAGCCAATCAAAAACAAGCTTTTCAGTTACGACATGAAGAAAGGCGTATTCTTAGTGGTCAAAACTGGATCAGTATCAACCAAATAGTAGCTCTTTGTGCGATAGCCTTTGATCTATTTTGTGTTTTATTTGTTTCACGTTTGCCAATGAGAGTTGTATAGCCATCGCAAATAATGGACTTTCAACTATGAAGCGAATTTTTAAAGATAAACTTGAGTTATGATTATGCGATTGCATTGTGATTGGAGGAAATGGAAAATGTTGATCACGTGAGCATTAGTAATCATCAAAATTAACACAGTCATGCTAAAGGTCACATGCACCTTGCACAAAAATGTGATAATGGGACTAAACATAGGTCTATATTCGGCAGGAAAGTGTGATCGAGTGATCGACAACCTTTAGCGGTTACTTAATGACTTCTAATATAAGGGCAAACGTCCGATCCAACTTTACTTGTTACACGTATTTTCTGTCTGTTTAAAGCGGCCGCCTTTGGAGTGAGTAGTGCTAACCCAGTTCCAAACGCATCTCTAGTCTCGACTATCTCAGAACAGACAAGGACGGAATTATGCGCCCTCTCTACATATATTCGTGCCTTGTCATTGAAAGAATCGGTCTTTAACCTAATGCTAGAATACGTAAGTTTTGCACTGTTTTATATACTTGATGTAGGTTTGGAAATGGCAAGTTCCAAGCACAGAAAAACCTTAAGTTAATGTAATATTCGTTTTGCCGGAAGTAATTTAAGAATGATTTTACCCGTGGAAAAGTCTGTATCACAGTATATTTATCAGGAATAACTTTCATAAATGTCTAAACAATTATCATATAATCCTGTGAATTTTCCAATTCAATAATATAACCTATGGGAAAATCTGTATCACCTTAATTGTTTGAGATGGGAAAAGAATAAATTAAAATTAACCAAGTTACAGTTTACATATTTTGAATATATTTTGTATATATTTTCCATTTGTATATTTCTTTTTTAAAATCTTCTCATATTCCATTATTTATTTTATATGTAAGGTAGTGATCTTTTTATGCAAACGTGGTATGAAATTGATATATTAAATTGTGCAATTCTCAGCAATTCAGGTATTTGACTGCTTTTTCCCTTATATAATTAATCTATTCAACTCAATTTGATTAACTATAATGATTATTTTTTAACACATTAAATACAGATATATATAGTGATAATATTCTACTACTACTATTAATAACGACGATGATAATAATAATAAAACTGAAAATAATTATAAAGATTATTGATAATAATGATTATTATTATTATTAATATTATTATCAGTATTATTATTATCATTATTAATAGTAGTAGTAGCAGTAGTAGAAGTAGTAGTAGAAGTATTAGTAGAAGTAGTAGTAGAAGTAGTAGAAGTATTAGTAGAAGTAGTAGTAGAAGTAGTAGTATAAATTGTAGTAGTAGTAGTAGTAGTAGTAGTAGTAGTAATAATAAGTATAATTACTATTACCATATACAAAACGACACACCTGTACTGTTTTATTTTTTTTGCACAGGAGAGCGATGGGCAACCAGCCAAAAACCAATCAGCTGAAGATGAGATTGTAGAGAAAGTAAAGGATGCATGCACAGTAAGCAATTCGTTGTCGTTGATCGGTGATGGGGTAAGAAAAACAAAACTTCACAGAAAATCAACTTAAAACAATTTCGTTAATAGCATTGCTTCATATTCAAGAATAATATCAACATTGCGTTGTTATTAATCCTGTATGAATTTTTACTTCCTTATGTTTCCAGTAGCATTATTTCTCTTGATTTTACGTGGTCATGTTTCCGCCAGTACCGTTATTAGAATAGTTATACGCTAACTATCACTATTTGCAACAGCTTTACTCCGACTCCCTTTTCCCTTTCTCTTCTTTTCCTTTTTTTAAATTTATTTTTTACTATTCTACTTTTTATTCTTACATATTTATAATGCATTGTTATAACAAGCATCCAACACAAGCATATATAAGCTTGTAGGAAGTAGTACGCCGTCTCCCCTGTATTAAAACTGTTGCTATATTAAATTGCTTATGTCATTATGTATGTATACTTTTTTTTTTAATGAGAAAAAAAAAACGGAAGAAATTAAAAGTTTCTTTTAATTGTCTTTAATTGAATATGACATGAAGACACTTAATTTGTGGTTTTAGTAGAGGGTTCAAGGGGAGTTTGATACAGAAGTGCATGTCTCCTGCGGGTTGGACTACTTGGATGGGGGGGGGGGGGGAGGAGCTCTCGCGTCTCCATTTATTTGTACACACACACTCTCTCTCTCTCTCTCTTTCTCTCTTCTTCTGATTTCGGTGGTGTGCGGCTTTATTTGTACTGCTTTTACCGTCTCTTCTTTTGTGGGGATTTATTATGAGTTTAAAGCTCAGCAAATTGTTTCTCTAAATTTGTCTATAAGGAGCAAATTTAATTTTGTAATACAATAATACGATAGCTTCTGCAGGGAGAGAGCTTTTGGAACAATTAAAGTTATTATAAAAAAAAAGGAAGGCAGAGAAAAGGCATATTAAAGGGTTTTTTTTGTTGTTGTTTTGTTTGGGGGGAGAGGCTTTGTAAAAATGTTATATCATCATTTAGCATCATTCATAAACATATGTATCTAATAAGACTCATGTATGTATCTCTGTGTGTGTGTGTGTATATATATATATATATATATATATATATATATATATGTTTATATATACATATATATTTCTGTACTTCATCTCAAGGCCAGATTGATACTAAATTATATTAAGCCTCTTCTTTACTTGACCAAAACACAGGAATATGCAGCTGCTCTTCGGCAAAACGAGTGCTCCCTAAAAACTTACGCCCGCCTCTTGGACACAGTCCTAGAAACAGAGCAAAATTTGTCGTTTAACGTCACATTGACAGGAAAGATCCTAGACGTGAAGACACATATACTCAATGTCTGTTCCTTGCTTTTTCAATGGGTGAGTAATTTCTATCCCTATAGAGAGAAAAATCGGGAAAACCCCAGGGCCCATATTCTCGAAAGCGGCCTTGTAGATAAAGATAAAGATAAACTTGAGTTCTGGTAAATATAGATAGTAAATTCTCACAGAATCCAACGAAACTGATTGTTCAAGATTACATATAAATGACATATGCAAAACAAGTTTGTTAGAAAATGTATATAGTGGCTGAGTAATGAGCATACTAGATTGATAAGGAAATCCAGGTAAGTAGGCCCGATACCTTGTGCTTATAGCAGAGGTCATTATGTGCAAATGGGAGTCGTGGTTTTTATCGAAGACAGTGGCGTAGACAGGTTCGTACACCTGGGGGGATGACTCAGGGGCGGATCTAGCTTTTTGCTAAGGGGGGGGGGGTTGACCAATAATGACGATGCGGAGCATCGTCCACGAGCCGCGAAGCGACGAGCCGATTTTTTTTTTGGGTGTTTATTTGAACCCCGTAAGTGATGTTTTCCTGGCATCTATTAACACAATGGAGACCATAAAAAGCAGTGCATGATAACGTCTTTTTAAATCAAGTAACAGTTAAATACACAGTTATATCCAGAGTTATCATGTGTTTGGTTAAGTTACCAGATGAGTTGAATATCTTCTCACAATATTTGCACTTGAAAGGGTTTCTCTCCAGCGTGCGTTCTTTTTTCTTTCTTTTTTTTTTTTTTTTCTTCCTTTTTCCCCCCTTTTTTTTTGGTTTGTTTTTTGGGCCGCCCAAGGGGGGGGGGTTTAAACCCCCTAACCCCCCCCCCCCGTAGATCCGCGCCTGTTTAATCTTGTGGTTATCTTGTGGTTTCCAAACCACAAGATAACCACAAAATACTTGTAAGATTTTCTTTTTTTTACCGTCTGAATTGGCTTTCACCGTGTGAATGCGGCTAATAACAATAAACACAATTACAATAATGAATAGGAATATTATTATCATCATCATAATTATTATTATTATTAATATTATAATTGTTATCATTATTATTATTACTATTATTATCATCATTATGACTTATTAAGTAAGCAAATATCATTCCCCAAAACCTGGGGGGGGGGGATGATTGTACATGCCATCCCCCCCACCTTGTGAGGTGGGGGGATGCATCCCCCTCATCCCCCCCCCCCCGTTGTCTACGCCCCTGATCGAAGATAATGCCCAGCGCTATAGCTCTCCTTAGAACTATAAGCTTAGAAAGATAACCGACAGTCTTATTCAAGACTACACCAACAGTTCTTTTCAGGACTACACACCCTCAAGAACTTGCCGAGAGTCCTTTTCAGGACTCCTCAATCCTCCCTCTCTTTCTCACATGGTACATCCGCAAGCCTACTGTATAATGCCCAGTAAGTTTTTTTTTTACTGCAGGATAAACAATCCAGAATATATCATAGCAATTTTCTCTCAAGATACGACTCCCATACCAGACCTTAAGATTAGCTTTAAAAAAAAAGGGAAACTGAGCGACGGATTTATCTGATTTGCAATTGAACTGTTCAAAGTTCACGACTTTATGGAATGCCATGTGTTGACCCTTACATTTCGTGTACTTTAAAACAGATCAGGGAGATGAGAATCGTACTAGTACATGGCATACATGGCCCCCCAAATTTCCACTGATCTTTTAAACATGGGGAGGTCCACTCACATTCTAGAATGATCATGTTGGATGTGCTCTGTGAATGGCTTTTGTTTTCCCCTCTTGAAAAGAATACTTCAACCGGTATACCCTGAAATGCACTGGGGCTTAAACAGATATTGATAACAAACCTTTATGAGCGTGTATCCAGTATTTTGTCTCAGTGGGTTTTCAAATGTTGTACAAATAACAATCTGCTCATGCGCAGATTGTATCTACCAAGCTTTATTATATAATGTAAACAAATTAAAAAAAACATAATTAAGTTGTCGTGGAAAGGAAATGGGGAGAAAAATTTCAAGGAGACGAATTTGTCTACTTTCATTTTACAGAATTCTAGCATTCTAAACTTATAATAATAATAATAATAGCCTAATAGTCCACTCCAAATTTTATTAAACCGAAACGGATATTCTTTTTGCCCAATTGATCGTGAGCCCGGCAGCCACTGAGCAGCGCCAGATCGACGTTGCTCTATCCCTTATCGTGGGGCTTGAGCCAGGCCTAAAATTTCAAGAATACAGAAGCTAATCTGTGACATCTTGTAAGAAAATAATGCACTGTATCGATATTGTCTTTGTTTCAAATGTAAGAATGCTTGTTTAAAATTTGCCTAGTACTTTGTATTATGATACATGTATTTTGTTGAAAATATACATAAATAAATAGGGGAAAAGAAATCGAATTAAACATATTAAATTTAAGTCTAGTCTTTAAATCCATTTTTCTTTGCTTAACCTACAGGTTGAAATCCTACAACCATCATTGCCGACTTCGACCCTTACGCCGACATCACCGACATCAACATCCTTCCCTTCATTATCAATGACTCAACCGCCTTCAAATAACTCCCATTTGGACTTGCCGGCCTTGGGCGAGTACGGCTTTGAGATCGTGGAAGCCTTAAAGACATACGTCGATTCGATTTTGATCAGGGATGTCTGTTTGGTAAAAAACAAAGGTAGACTAGTCATGACTGATAAGCGTCATTGTTTCTAATGGTTCCAAAAACACCTTGATAATTATTTTTATTATTGTATTTATTTGCACCATGAGGATAAATATATAAAGTCATATATTCGTGCATGCTTGTAAATCATGTATCACCGCCAATTCAGGTTACGTCATACCTTGATATTAGTTTGTATATCAAACTCATAGAAGAAAGAAAGTATTCCCGTGACCTAATTTTCAGGTTACTTTTTTACACCTTGTTAAATCCTTTCTTTTCATAAGTGCCTTTTGTTCTTGTTGTAGTATTTATATTGAGAAATTGTACGTTAAAGGAATGTTTAAATAATGATTAAATTAATAGTAAATTCAATTCATAAAATGTAGTTCTAGCAATTGATAGCAGTAACTTTGCCCCAAAATAGTTTTTTGTTTGTTTTGTCGGTGCCTACATTTTCTGGGATGGACTGTACAAGATTTTCGTACGCCTTGGAAACCCAAAGAGGAAAGTCAAATTTTAAAAATGTAATCATTGGCCAATCAGGACCTATTCGGTATAACCTACATTAGGTTTTCCACTATCATTACATCATTTATCAAACAAGGATGCAGATAAGAGTAACATAATACATTACATGTTTGTAGATAATATATCATATCAGTATTGTTATGAGGGCATTCAATGTGAATTCGATAGTCTCCACAAACCTTGTGTGTATAACGCGATTTTTAAATAGCATGTTATAATGCTTATCACGGGAGACAAACACATATTATTCCGCTTTCATTGATCGATCTCTCCCCATCTCTCCTTCTCGTTCTTCTATATTTTGTCACTCTATCGCTAAATGTCTTTTAACTCCATAAGTCCTGTATAACGTAACGTGTATAATGCTGAACCTTGGCATGTAAAGCACATTCAATTCGTAATAGCTTGTATCCATAAATTAAAGCGGATTAATCAAAACCTATTTGTTATGGATCCCCCAGTCTCAAGCTCTCTATAATGTACAAGTTGCTATAATTCTGTGGTAAAGTGAATGAATGAAATAATGTAGTCATACAACGAAAATTAGAATTCAAATGTATTCCATAAAGCGATTATGTTTTTTTTTTCTTTTCTCGGAATAATAGTAATATTATGGGATGAAGAGTTTGAATTTTGGCGCTCCATAAATCAGTAAATACTTTTGTTATTTAAACCTGGTCTACAGTTAATATTACAGTGATAATGAAAATATTATTCTGGGTTTAAATGGCGCTTAATACATCGATGATATCTCTGAGCGCTAGATATAGATACATGTATAATATTACCCTGGTCATCGGATTCAGGCTAGCCGGTACCCTACGTATTCAACATTCTCCACTCCTTCGGGATCATTCCAGGCAAGCACCATATTTTCAGACACTCACAATACTGAGCAAACTACAATGACTTCATGATGTAACTGAGTACCAATTAAACACCAGGGTGAAGGGTGGCAAATGTGAATTAATACCTTGCCAAAGGACATCCGTGCCATACAGGGATCCGAACCATCATTATGAAGTATCTACTATGTAGAGTACAATGTAATTGAATTTATTGAGCATTTACTTCGGATTAATCAAAAAAAATAATGTGGAGTCTCTGTCGCATGAAACACATTATGAAGACTTTCTCATTTATTTACCCATATTTATCTAAACTGTCGATATTCGAAGATCAGGCATAGATTTTACTGCAATGTTATCGTTCGATCTGTGCAATTAAGTTATATTATCATACATTTATATTATTGTGATTATATAATTACGATCATTTCTGTAAAATAACATGGTATACTTTTGTAAAATGTTCTCCCCCTAATATGACCAAGACTATGTTATGTTCAATATCACTATAATTTATTTGATTATGTTCAATCCTTGAAATAAACTTCTTCCTTTTTACAATATTGTAAAATTCTCTCGTCGTGATATTTTTTTAATGTGTTTTATTTCCACATTAACTGTACAGTATATAAACAGAATTGACAAAGTAACGCATATACAAGGTAACAAAACTTATAAATGTATGCGATAGATAGGTGGTAATAAAAAAAATAATGACGATTTTATACAAGTCATAAATACAAAGGATGCTAACTTAATTTACAGTAAAGAGGAGAAAACCTTGGAAGCAATAAGCGTGTGATTAAGGTTCCCTTGACATTTGTTACATATATACAACAAAGAAATACAAAAGAAGAATAAAAATGGGTGTGTAGTGTAGCCAACCAACAAGTGATGATAATAACGGTGGTCTCCAAAATGACCTTCTTAAGCATTTTCTTACAGAAGAAGAAGTTTACATTTCAAGTGATATCTAAGAGTACTTACATTGGGCAGGAAGAGTTCTCAGTTTGTGTAAGTGAAAATGGAAGACTGCCGGGTTGGATAATTATGAAGTTGTTGTTTCTTTTGGAATGTCTACGTAATGGCATGAGGAAATTCGTCAGAATTTAATTGAAACATAAAACAGCATAAAAAGCAATTGTACATGTCATTGACTTTTAATATTTTATTTTCTAAATATAAATCATAGTGTGGCTTAACCTATTAGTGTGGCAAATTATTCGTATGACGCGTTTTTGAAGTATCAATAATTTGTCCAACTGGTAATTAAACGAATTTCCCCATGCAAGTATGCCATAGTTAAGATAAGGCAAGATAAGCGTCGAGTACAAATTTTTCAAAATATACTTAGGAAACGACATGTTTAATTTATTGATTATTCCAATGTTCCTTGATAGTGTTTTGCTTAAATATAAGTTGTGTTCTTTCCAAGAGAGCTTATTTTCCATGATAAAACGAAGCAATTTTGACGTATCAACTAAGTTTATAACTGTTTTATTAATGTAAACACTGAAATAGAGTTGCTGAAGAGCATACATTGAGTGCTATTTAAATTTAAGAAAAGTTTATTAGCACAAATCCACTCTTCATCAAGACCCAGTTCAAGATTAAGGGTTTCAAGTAGTGCATTGGGATTTTTGTGTGAGAAAAACACAGAAGAATCATCAGCAAATGATATAAATGACAACAGATTGGATGAGTTTTAAAAGTCATTCATATACAATATAAATAAAAGAGGCCCCAGAATGGATCCCTGTGGAACTCCACATATTAACTGTTGAAAGCCTGAGTCTACTCCATTTATGGATACGTATTGTTTCTTATCCCTGAGGTAGCTTTCGAACCACTCCGAGACGTTTCCAGTGCACGTATACCACAATGTGAAAGTTTTTATAGTCGAATTGTGTCAAAGGCCTTTATAGAGAGGTCCAGGATCATCAATTGCAGAAGCAACATGATTAATGAAATGTAAAATAGCATGAACAGTCGAAAGTTTTTGTCTGCAGCCAAACTATGAGTCAAAGAGTTTATTATTACTCACTAAAAAAGGCTACTGTGCGATCATAGATGAGTTTTTCTAACACTTTAGAGATGAAAGACAGGAGAGATATGGGCCTGTAACTACATGAATCTAAGGGGTCACCCTTTTTTAAATCGGAACAATTTTTGTAAGTTTCATGATGTCGGGAACCGCACCCAGGGTCGTGGAAAGATTAAATATGTGTTCTAGGAGAACATCATCCTTATCCGTACTTCTTTTTCTTTTTTTTAAATTTTAACAAATTTTAGAATCGCAGATGAGTTGGTTGCAATAAAAAAATATAGAATTCTTATTTTTGTTCTTCAAAAATGATTGAAAGGGTTTTTCGACAACTGGAATAACATGAGAATCGAGCAAGTCTTTCCTCCAGACCCGGTTATTCAAAAGAATAAAAAAAAAAAAAAAAAAAAAACTTTTAAACTAAGACCCCACCATCTTCCAAACTAAGACCCGGTAATAAAGCATGGGTTTAGAGCGTAGTTTTTCTTCCAGATCCGGTTATTTCAAAACTTTTTAAAAATCTTCAAAACTAAGACCCCATCATCTTATTCCTGTGGAAGAACATGAGTATTGAGCGTAGTCTTTCCTCCGGACCCGGTTATTCAAAAGTTAAAAAAAACAAAACACAAAACAAAACAAAGCAAAAAAAAAAAAAAAAACCTTTTAAACTAAGATAAAGCATGAGTATTGAGCGTAGTCTTTCCTCCGGACCCGGTTATTCAAAAGTTAAAAAAACAAAACACAAAACAAAACAAAGCAAAAAAAAAAAAAAAACCTTTTAAACTAAGACCCCTCTATCTTCCAAATTAAGACCCGGTAATAAAGCATGGGATTAGAGCGTAGTCTTTAATTCAGACTCGGTTATTTAAAAAAAAAATCTTCAAACTAAGACCTCACCATCTCATTCCTGTGGAATAACATGGGTTATTCATGATTTTCATTCATAACAATTACAACTATCTACAGCTCCAGTTGAAATTTACTTAAACATTTCGTAATGTGTCAAATTGTTGAATTCTAGAATAAGTTTTATACTACGATATTTCGTTTGAAATATCTTGATACAGTATATTTCCAAATACAAAGAAACACAACAACACATAATTATCTACTTTCGCATTTGCAATCGGTGCTATAAGTAATTAACCATGATATGTCTTTAAAAACACTTTCACAAATAGCAAGTGTGATGCATAATAATCTATAAACCTATATACGAAATTATATTAATCGCATATTGAAGAACCTCTTCCATTATTTAATCACGAATGAGAGTTAGGTCGAGCAAACAAAACGGAGGAATTCGATGTAAAAAATATATATCGAATTTCGAGAGAATTTTGATTGTTTTAACAGTACAAGTCTAACTGCAATTCCCAAACCATTCTCATTCACTCCGTTGATATCTGGCGTTATCATTTTGGTGTGTATATTTTTTTGTTCAAAGTATGACCATTTTGTTGTAATATTCATTATTCTATTATGTCCAATTTTGTTGTACAGGGAATACTTTAAAAATAAAATGGGCTATCGGAGGGTGAAAAATTCAAACACTATGTGGAATTATGTCGGGGAAGTAATTAAACGTACATGCTAATTTCAGAACATGCATTCTTCAACTTTACAATACACAAACGTAAAATGAGTTGAAACTGTTTAGTATCATCATTCAAATCGGTGATTTTTTTTTTAAAAGGACTTATACTATTAACCGAATGAGGGCCCGAGAAAGTAACGTGAA